GACACATAATTGCAATCCTTAGAACCCAACTACAAATCCTTATAATCATGTTTGTGCAGTGAAGAGCAGTGGCGCACTGATAGGCTTCCATCTGTGTTAAACAGAAATATTGGTTTAATATCCTTCAGTTGTGGGGGGAGATTTTCTAATACATCAAATCTGGATGGGTCTCATCAGTGGGGTGGAATGACTTTTTTACCTAATACTATTGTTAGCTGATATTAACGGAAAAAAACTCCCACTGATTTGGTCTTCTTTTTTTTTGCATCATCAAATACATACCTAAAGTATTGAAAACAAAATACTTCAATGTGAGGACTGGTTGCAATTTCTTAGATTATGTTTGAACAAATTGCCTTTTTGCCCTCCAGCCTTCAGCATTCCACAGGTCCAGGAAATTGTTCAGCAGACAATTGATTAATTAAAAATATAGCAACTAACAAGTCAAATATATGATCATATCTGAATTACACAGTGCTATTGTATATATATATATGAAAAAAGTATAGCCATTTTGATGTGTATATTTTTTTCAAAATATGGGATGTATATGTTCAAATTGCATTAGATTTATAAAATATTAGAATGCATATAATGACCCAAGATGGGTAAGACTCAAAAATGAATATGTCTGTGACACTGTTCTATAAGGGTAATGGGCACAATTACAAGGTTGTGTAGTACAGTTTTGTTTCATCTAATTTCTTAGTTTAGAATGATTAAATCTTGGTTTAGTTGAAAAAAAAAATCCTTTGCTGTTTACTGCCTGAGGTTCATTTATTTCTTTTTTTTTTCCATCAGTGAAACTTGATATATGTCAGCAGAAGGTTAGGTAGTAACAACTGTCAGAACACAGGCGTCTTCCCTCCAGCTGTTTCAGTTTTGTTACTCTACCCTTCCTCCACCAGACTGAGATTTCAGGTGGAATGAAGTAGTTATAAAAGCGTCCATCAACACAAGCACTTCTTGCCAAGCCAAGTATTTGGGTTGGAAGTCCTACCTCCTGAACTGCTTGAAAACAGGAAGTATCTCTGTTAAGTGATGGATAGCTCTACTTTGCTGAGAGGAAGAAAAGGCTTTCTTTGCCCCTGGGCAGTTAAATGAGTTCTACAGTTGTTCACTGTCTTAGGGTGTGTGTGTGTGTGCTCAGATGCAGTTGAAGCTGTTCATGTCACGGTTCCAAAAACGTTCTTGAAAGCACGTATCTGACTGATAGACTATAATGGGCCTGCAGAGAGGTTTGTCAAAAATTTAAAATAGTAATTGCAAAAATGTTTTTTTTCCTGCCTTAAATTTTTGACGTCATGCCAGGCTCTGTAGTGTGTTGTATTAGAAATCATCCCTCCCAACTTCTAAATTAAATTTATCATTTATAAATTTGTCTTTAATAAGCTATATTTGGGGTTATTCTTCCACTTCACAGCTAAAATGAATAATATCTGTAACCAACTACAAGGAAAATAAAGCTTATTCCCCTTTGGATATTATAATGCTAAAAAAAAGATGTCTAATCCATTTTATATGCACTGCTTTGTTATACATGTGTTGGCGAAGAGCATTTCTTGTCAGTTTCCCTAGTCCGATGTTGCTGTTCAGACTCAAGTAATACAAACGCCATGTTGAGAAGGTTTTGTTTTAAAGTGACCCTGATCACATTTCTCGAAGAAGACTGTAAAAATAATGGGCTCCGTGGAATCTTTCTAGCTCATTTTCTCCGACACAATAAGTCTGTTTCTGACATTTTTTTAATTAATGGTAATACCGCATGGAAAAGACCTGTGTAAATAATTCCACTTTTTGATAACTTTCAGCTGAAACTGTAATTAGGTTGTTGACTTGTAAAAGTACAGTCATTTTCAGCTGCTTGTTTTGAACTTAAAGTCATGGATAATGAGGTGGATGAAAAGTTGAAGAAAGCAAACAAGGCTCGTTAAGATTAGTTAAGACCACATTCACAATTCTGACTCCTGTTTTATTTGCTGACAAACACCAAAAATACTATTGCTGTCCTATTAATGTTTTCAGAGTTACTGGAAAAAGGTTTGTTAATATCTCCTGCTTTTATCTGGAACTTATGACACACATGCTTGTTGTGGGATAGAACTTTATTCCATAATTTCTCAGTTTCCAATAGTGTTTTTTTATTTCACACATCTACAAACTCTTTCCATGTATAATGTGTGAAAAATCTATATGCAAAACAATGATTTTTGAATAATCAGGAACTAGCTCAGAAATAGCATGTCCCACTCATTTGTTTTTCATTATAGTCTAACCATTTTTTTTATTTAAAGTCCTGCTTTTTCATCTCGGTTGTGCAAACCCAACATATACTGAAAAACAAACAGTTTTTGCATACAGTTTTTGTCTTGAGGAATCAAGGTGGCCTGCAGTTAGTAATGCTGTTTCACAGCGTTGTGTGAAGTTTGGGACTGCCCTTGTTATTGGGGGTTTTCTCCTGGTGCTCCAGTTTCATCCCATTTTATAAAGGTTATGTAATGTCCATATGCAAGCCACATCAGCTCATTTGTGCAGTTTGGTGAACTGGAGCAATTGGGGTAACATATTTCACTCAAGGTACAAAAGGAGTGAGGGAATTTCAACCCTGAACCCACTTGTTGTGAGACCAGATACTTACCCATTATGCTACACTACCCCCACCATCTGACGAAGGCGTGCTGACAATTAGTGTTCCCTTGAGCTTGTTTGTGTGCCCTGTCGTGGACTGGCATTTCATCCAGGCCAGAGTGTAGTCCTGCTTTGTGCACTATACTTTCAGGCTAGGCTCCAAGTTGCCATGGTCCGTACCTGGAATAGATGCCTTTTTGTTAATGAATGAATGGATTTCATGTAGCATGAAATTGGATTGTGAAAAATATGCATGCTATAGAATATTATGGCAAGTGACAGTTTTTCACAAATCCGGTTGATAGAGTACCATCAATCAGACGTTGTTTATTAAATTCGTCATTGCTTGTGTGAGTAATACAGATCTTTTTCAAGGTTTTGGACACAAGTTAATCTAATCAATAGAAAAAAATGTTGGGTTATGGGGATTCAAGAGATATTTTTCAGCGGAACTGAATAACAGTAACACCACTACAAACCCTTCAAGGGTCACTGTGTCTACAGAGTCACCAATAGAGCTGAAAAAGTTAACAAAACAGCCAGGAATGGATTTTCTAGTTTCTTTGAAATTATATGTGAATGTTTGTATCTTTTTTTGTTTATCTGAATGCTGCATTAACACTTTCATACACATATGGATTTTACTATCTAAATTAAGAAGCAGTTTTATACAGTATATCTGATTTGTGCCTTTTTGTCTTGCCTTTCCATCAAGTTGTAAAAAACTATCAATCAGTGACACACAGGTAATTTTATTCAGTTGTATCTAAAAGACCTGATTCAAATGTAAATCACAAAAAGAAGTACCCAAATTATTGACACTCCTATTCCAGTGACCTTCAGTCTCCTGTGATATTTAAGTGTAGTTTTAAATCCTGATATCCAAAGAAGTAGTCAAAGGACAGCCAATTCAAAATTAGATTCTTTCATAGGATGGGCTATTAAAATCTTACAAATGTCCTATCACAGCTTATTAATTCTGTAATTGTCAGCTGGAAACTTCTTGCACCATTCTCTAATCACTGTTAGTGAAATTCACAAATGAGAGAAAATAATTAAGTGGACCTAGTTGATTTGGTTATTAGCAGCTAATTTATAAAATCATTTCCAAATTTTGACAGCATGGCTGGGTAGCTTGTTCTGACGTACCCCTTGGCTTTTTTACACAGTGTTCAGTTTTAAAGGCACATTCCCCTAGATTCCAGTTGCATCCTCTGGTCCTCTGTTTTTCACCAATGATTCTGAAGAATTTCAGAATTAGAAGTCTGTTGGTTTGACTTTGGAATGCCTTTGAAGATTTTAATTACTCGAACCAGGTCCCCCCTTAGTCTTCTCTGTCTGTCAGGAAGTACCTTTGAAATTCCTTTGAGAATGGGGAATGCATATGGCCTCTGTCCCCCTGGCTGATTCCAGAGCAGTATTGTCATTTTTACAACTTGACCGTGATTGTTGCAATGTCACGCTTTAAGAAACGCAGAAACACGATTCCACATCCGTCACTTATCTTATAGTAATAACTTCCACCTTATTTCTGTGGCTTACAACTGATCCATGGAGATACCTCATTCATTCATGTCTGAGCTTTACTTTTCTCTCAAAGAGGTACTGCCAGAGGTACTTCCTGAGGAGAAGGTGGAACAGTTCCATTTAGCACATATCCACCTTAAACATGCAATACAGAATGGGAGTGTCAGAGACTGTGTGATCTTAAAATCCACATTACAGGGGAGACTCAGAGGTTATTATTAAATGCAGTATTCACCTTTTAAGATTGTGAATGTGTGAAAATTCTGTGTCTTTGCCTACAGATGTCAAAAGCTCCTAAATGATGTGCTTGTTGTTCTGCATAACTTGATAAAAAGAAAATCCTGCCATTCCAGTTTGAATGCAGCTAGAAATTTAAAGCTTTCACTGTGCTGAGTCAATAACCAACATTGTTAGCTGTCAAATATACCCAAATATATTCTGTGCTGTACAGAAGAATGTGTGTATTCCTTGTGTCTCACTTTGTGAAATACCTGAGAACACGTAAATTACTATGGGTTGTATTGAAGATAAACATCATTCTCAAAAGAAAGAAGTTGATGTGCCCACAATTTTTTTAGTTGACAGGTACATTTAAGTTATCTTGCAATCATGCATAGAGCAATGGCTAAATATTGAGTCTTACCTGGGTAGAACTACTGAGTTCACAGTATGTTTTTCCTTACCTGCTGGAAAAAGAGGCTTTAATATAATTTAATATCGAACCTTACCTGCCGATCTTTTACAGTAATTAAGGTTGAATAATGAATCTTAATGAGATCCAGATATGATTCCATAGACCCTTGTGTTTTATTTCTCAATTGAACCCTTCATCACCTCACCTGCAGGCCTTGATGAGACCTGGGCGGTTGGATCGCATCATCTATGTACCTTTGCCAGATGCAGCCACACGCAGAGAAATCCTGAAACTTCAGTTCAGCAACATTCCAGTTGCTGAGGATGTCTGTCTCAATGACCTTGTGATTCAGACAAAGAAATACTCAGGCGCAGAGGTAAGTTCTCCCTGTTTGCTCTTTAAGATTTATGATTCTCTTTGGAGTCAGTCAATGCAGAAGAAGTGAAAGGTTAGAAATTGATTTACCTCTATGTTTCTTATTTTCCCTGTGGGCATACTGCCCACTAACTACTAAATGAATTAGATGGGCAATTCGCCCACAGTATACCCCCAAGGAAAATCTGATCACATGTGTGACAATTGTTTTATCTACATAGATATGCAGAAACTTTCACTTCTGCAGTTTAATTTCAATATGGCATTCAAGAAATAGCTTTCACACCACAGATAGAGCATTGCATTGCAAAACATTGCTAAGGAAATTAGAAAGATATATTTTCTCTTAAGGCCCCTTAAGGTTTCACCAAAAAATATCAAATTATTTTTTCTTAGTTATAAAGGAAATCAGTGATCACTGATTACAGCCAGCTCATTATAAAGGTATATTCAGGAACATAAAAAATGTCATTGTGGGACAGCTTTAATGGTACAAACGTTTTCTACTGCAGCTTGGATTCAGGAATGTTACCAGGTATTAGTATAAAAACATGCAACTGATAAGCAGGCATGAAGATATTCCTGTATTTTTGAAAGGTTGGTTTAACATAGAAGTCTTCACACCTGAAACAAGTTTAGTACCCAGAGGGTTGCTGAAGTTCCAAATTTGGCTTTTCTGGTTTGAACCTAGGTTTTTGTACACCCAACAAAAAAGGGGAGAAGTCAGAAAACATCCTCAATGTGTGTTATTCTTCTTTAGGATCTTCTTCTTAAGATACTTGACTTATTTGTCCTTAGTATATAATAGTGGAACAAATACAGTTGAAGCATTACTGATAGGTGAATGTCATTAATCCGGTCAGATTAAATACTTTGTTCTATGGCATTTGAAACATTAAAAGTGAGCAGTCGTTATCGGACATGAAAATGTTTTTGGTGAAAGTGACCTTCAGAAGCAGGTAAAATATTTCCTAATGCTGCCTACCTGCAAGTCTGCACAAATGTCGTTCTTCCGGCCTTTTTGGCGCAGGCAAGACAAAAATGTAAGCCTGTGACACATTTAAGAAGGTTGCTTTAGTTACACAGTAGCAGCATATGTCTTGAAAACGCTGGAATGCACAATTCTTTCTAAACGTAAATCCGTTTCTCCTATCCCGCTCGCTCGCACGCACACCCCCCTCCATGCTGACACACACTCACACATAAATCCTTTTACAAACGTGTGCTAAGAACTTCTCAGTGTCAAAGGGAGTCTCTCTAAAAGGTCTCTCGCACTTTTAGAATAAATGTTAAACGTGCCGAAAGCATTAATTTTCGTAATTATTTTAATTACTTGTGACTTTGCATTCACAAAGAGAAGACCCTTGTTTAGTTTGGGAATTTGTCTGTGCATGCCCGTTTTCCTTTCTTAATCTTCTGGAGAGAGCATCTATGTCTTTGTGTACTCTAATACTGTGTGATATGTCATTGTGTTAAGTGCTATGTGCAGATTGTTTGTTACTATGTTCAATTTCATCTCTATCATATTACGATCTAAGGGCACTCAGAGAATGATGCTTTAGAAATACTTTTTTCCCGGTGTTACTTTTTATTCAACAGGTAGAGGAGAGTAAATTTGGAAGCGTTTCTCATATCCCCCAATCTCTACTAAGTAATCAACTCTTGAAATTCACTCCCACTGCAGTGGAGTGGATCATTCAGCTGAACCCAGCACCATCCATTGGTGTGAATTGAAGAATAATAACAGAATACAGCACAAGCCTGGCATTCAGAGAAACCCTGCTTCATTGGCTGTTCTCTCCTATATGTGCATTCGAACAGGATATCCTCACATCACTAAAGTTTTGCTGAAGTACTGCAGTTTTGTAAATACAGAGAGCATGGAGTCACTGTTGTGATGAATTCTCAATAAGATATTTTTATCATCAAAATTTGATTGATGGTATGAAAATATGGCAATTAATATTTGCTTCATTTAACACATTTCCCTGAAGACAAAGAGATGTATAGATAGTACCATATTTCATTGGTGGATGAAGTGAGCCCTCTCCTATCTGTAAAGCAGATATGACTTATTACTTGGGATGGGTGGCAATGTTCCCTCTAATTTTTAATGGCCTGTGTGCGCAAAAATTGAATGTTGTGCAAAGTCTTGCCACAGTCACAAAAACTTGTGAGCACTACATTGAGTGTATGTAAAACTGTAAACCTGAAATTATTTTTTGGTAACATAGTCATTCTCATAGAAGCATATTGATCCAAAAGACCGGGACAGCAATTCAACGAGCCCAGTCATAAAGACTGAGTGTCGAGCTAGCAGTGAGGAACAAGACTATAAGAGCATAGATATTGATTATTGAGTAGCAATAATAATGCACACAACCAAGTTTGGCCTCTCGCAGTCAGTCTCATGTGGTCAATTTAGCATTTTTCAATTGACAACCGTGTTTGTTTTATTATTATAATTTTTTTAATTACATTTTTTGTAATTAAAAATTACAAAACTCCTATATACGCTCACAGCTAAGAGGGAGCATTGGGTGGTATAACCAGTATAATAATAATAATTGCTTACACTTATATAGCGCTTTTCTGGACACTCCACTCAAAGCGCTTTACAGGTAATGGGGACTCCCCTCCACCACCACCAGTGTGCAGCATCCACCTGGATAATGCGACGGCAGCCATAGTGCACCAGAACGCTCACCACACATCAGCTATCAGTGGGGAGGAGAGCAGAGTAATGAAGCCAATTCATAGATGGGGATTATTAGGAAGCCATGGTTGGTAAGGGCCAATGGGAAATTTGGCCAGGACGCCGGGGTTTCACCCCTACTCTTTTCGAGAAATGCCCTGGGATTTTTAATGACCACAAAGAGTCAGGACCTTGGTTTCACATCTCATCCGAAGGATGGCGCCTGTTTACAGTATAGTGTCCCAGTCACTATACTGGGGCATTAGGCTACACATGGACCACAGGGTGAGCGGCCCCTGCTGGCCCCACTAACATCTCTTCCAGCAGTAACCTTAGTTTTTCCCAGGAGGTCTCCCATCCAGGTATTGACCAGGCTCACACCTGCTTAGCTTCAGTGGGTTGCCAGTTGTGAGTTTCAGAGTGATATGGCTGCTGGCTGTTATATATATATAATATAAATATATAGAAGGTATACCAATAGAAATATGTGCCACGATATGGATTTGGCTATACCGTTTATACCGATAGAGAATAGATTTTGATATTAACATAGATTGCGCTGCCAGCATCATCGCAAAACGTGATTTGGAAACGTTTTCTGTTGACCTGTCATAGTTTAAAATTCTGCCATATTTTAGCTCCAATTATATAATTCTGAAAATGTTCATCTTGCTGATATTTGGAAATCTGATAGGTTCAGGATTATTGACCTTCGGTGGTTTAGACATCCGGTTTATGACGCATCTGAGGTCATTGTGGCCAATAAAAACACGCGGGCGTCTCTTCCCTTTTCTGTGAAAATTGACAATATAATGTTGTCTGACACATTGTTTGCAAACATTGTTTAGAATTTTATTCCTTTTAGAAATATTTTTTTTTCTGATCTTCAAAATTCAGCATCATTGAGAAACAGAAATCAGTTGCAGGAAAACCCCTGCTGCACCTGTACATTTTAAAGTGTGATAGTTTTTTGTAGTTTATCATCAATGCCATGTACTTCTAGATCTGACAATCCTGTCAGTTGTTCTGTTTTTTGTTTCTGCATTTCATACATAACCTGTCTTGGTTACAGAAGTTATGGATGGGGCTTGGCTTAAAATGAACACAAGAAAATGTTGTGCTTATTATGCCGTGAATAATTGTACATTTTTTTCAAATATTAAGAACACAAACAGATTTAAAACCAGCTTTAAAGCATTCTTCTAAAATATGGGGTCGCTATACCTTTAAAGCTGTCCTACCTTTATTTTTTCCAGTTTTTATTCCTGCATTCCTTTTTGATATTTCTTTTAAATTCTGTGTTGATCTTTAAACAGTCTTGAATGTAACATTTTGTGCCTTATCTTTCCTGCTAGGTAAGAGAATACATGTAAATGTTCCTATTCATTCTTTCCTGGTCATAAAGGATTAGAGTGGTCTGCCTGGGTAGCTGTTACATGCTGGTATTTGTTTTGGCACTCTCAGTTCCGAAGTGCATAAGAGTGGTGCAAGGCTGGAGCAGAGTGCCAGCGTAGTCGGGCGTCAGCTATATATCAACTCCACGCTTATAGGAAGCAAGCACGATGAGTGGCCATCATAAATCTTCATGCTTTTCTATTGAAACTGGAGGTCTGTCCACAGGCAAGACAAGGGATGATCATATTTCTCCCTTTAGCCTGTTCCAAGCCATGCTGCATATGTGTACTGTAGCTCGCATGTTAACTCCTTTTTTGCTTAGTAATTTCACTCTGGTGCAGATAGCGGAGAGGGAATCTGAGGGAAACTAAAAATCCCCTTGGATTTACAATATTTAATTATCTTAAATGGTACTTAATGCTTATGACTGTGTGGGGGAACTAACTGACAAGGACGTTTGAGCACGTTCTTATGAAGGGAAAAGTACTGTGGAGAAGGACCCTGAGTTCAAAGTTAGTGAAGCTAGAGAATTCAAGTAATAATTAGGGGATTTCATTTTTAAACCCAGCATTGACATTTATCCTGTACAATGATCAAAACATTCTGTTCAACAGCTTATAAATGGTTTCTTGTACACTGGTCTAACGTTCTAGTAGTTTCCCTGGAGTAGCCACTTTTTTTTACAACAAGCATCTTATCTATGTTTGTGAGAATTTGTTCTTGTTTAGGACGCTCATTTGATGTCAGCCTGAGGACAAAAGCGTGTTTAAATCAGCTTTCTTAAGCCGGAGCCAACCCATTGCAACATCTGGTTCCTGAGTCTGATGCCTCTCTGCCTGTTCAAAATGTAGAATCTGATACTGTAATTGCATTTTGTTGTCATAGAGAGGGGTTGCTGCTGGGGAGGATAA